GTTTTACTAAAAAATGAGCTTCTGACTTAGGTTGTGTGGGAGGTCAGCAGGTCACCTTACCTGTCCTGGGGACACCTGCCTAAGCCACACATGTGCTCTGGCTTAGGTTGATGATAGATGGCCACCCCCCAGGCATTACCCTTCTCAGAATACTCATTATCATACAGACTCAACCATGTGAGGTGTAGAGTAACTGCTGCCAAAGATCTCAAAGTGGTGCTGGGCTTGCAATCTGGGCAACATAGGAAAGACCAACAGAAGTCCTAACCCACCCATAAGCCAGTAGACTAAAGGCAATTGAGTCATTCCCTTCCTTAATGTTCCTTACTGCAAATTGGGATCCTCATGAGGTGGTATCCCATGGGCAAGTGGAACTTGAGTTTTATAAATTTTATAACTTTCAAAGCCAATTCAGATGTACAATTGTAGAATTAAATTTATTATGCCCAATAGAATGAAAGATTAACTAACTGTGGTGTCTACTTTTGTGAGCAGGAGCATGAGCCCTAACCCTAACACTAACCCTAAATTTATTAGGGTTCATGCTACACCCTAACCCTAACCCTAAAAATAAATAAATAAATAATAAAAATAAATAAATGTGCTAGCTCTAGTAGCCAATTATGAAATAGCAATCCCAGAAACAGTAGCAGCTGCGTGGCCACCACCACTATAATAGCAACAATGGCAACAGTGATGTTGATTCTCTTCTGGAGCATGTGAGCACCATCTGTGTCTAACTGCTATGGTCCACTGGCATGGACACAGCTCCAGCAACACGAACCACCAAGGCCCATTTTTCTTGATCCCAGCATGACTAAAGTGGCAGCTCTGCAAAAGAACACCTAAGAACCATAAAGAAAGAAAAAAAGACAGCAAACAAGGAGTAGAACTAATGGTCTCATAATGGCTACATTCAGGTTCACAAATTTTAAGGTATCTTCAAAAGAGGCTAGATGTATTTAAGGAGACCAATAAATGTTTCACAGAGCCACTCCTGAAAACTAGGTAGTACACCAGCTCGAAGAGGAGTGCAAAATATGAAAGGCTTAGCTGGCATGCTATAGTTAAGAAATGAAGGTCAATGACTTTCAGAGTTATCCTTAATCTCCAAGGTGTGATACATTCTCAACGTTTTTGAAAAAAGTTACCATACATTACCTTCTGAAGAATCCAATCACATGGCTACAGTTCCTAGGCTTACATTAATGCTTGCCAAGGCTGGACATATTGGGCTCTCAATCCCCATTGGCATCAAAAGGGGAGAGTTTTTCATGAAGGCCCAATAGGTCTCTGCCATGGTGGAATTCAGCAGTAGCCACAGGGCACACACAGCACCCAGGAACCCAAAGAGGAACCGAATTGTCCAAGGAAAGACACAAACAGATCCCTGGGCCCACACCAACACTGCATCGGGTCCCCTCTAAGTTCATGTAGAGCGATCCTCTATTGCTCCAGAGGGTGATTTGTAACAGGAGCCCTCCAGTGCTTATCTGCAGCAGATACTCCAGCAGAGTCCACTGATAAAAATTTTAAAATATATAAAACAAGGGAAAGAATAGAATGTGGAGAGGAGAGATGCGCCCCTAGCTACCCCCTTTTTACTTTAGTAATATATGTTTTTAAGGTATGATGGCAGCATTCTAATATTGCCTGTCCTTGAGGATTATAAGGAATACCAGTCTTATTAATGATAGAAAAATCTTGGCAGAATTTTGAAAATCTCATACTGCTGTAGGTAGGACCATTATCAGTCTTTATGCATTTTGGCACTCCCATACAGGCAAAAACCATGACGATATCCTTAACCTTTTACCCTGAATAGACAGAAGCAAACATTAGAGAAGAATATGTATCAATACACATGGACATATTGTAATTTTCCAAAGGAAGGCATGTGTGTGGCGTCCATCTGCCACACATGATTAGGTAAAAGTCCTTTGGGATTAACTCTCAAATGAGGAACAGGTAAAAATTCAACACAAATAGGACATGATTTAACTATCTGGATGGCTTGTTCCCAGGTTATGCTTAGGTGATGACAAAGAGATCCAGCATTAAGATGATAGCATTGATGCAACTGAGTAGTCTTTTCAAAGGCAGAACAAATTAATGTGACAGCCATACGAGTAATGGCATCAGCCCTCTGATTACCTTTGCTTAGAAGTCCAGGCAATTGGGTATGAGCTCTAATGTGGCCCACATAAAGGTTATGTGAGCGGGACCATGTGAGTCCTTGCACTTGTAATAAATATTCATGAATGGGAGAAATAGATGGTATGTAGGCTGTTGTCTCCAAAGGCATAATGGCATGTGCCACATATTGACTATCAGTATAAATATTACACTCTCATCAGAAAACACCTGTAAAGCAAGCAACATTGCCTGTACCTCTGCCATCTGGGCAGAAGTGCCCTGGACTTTTATTCTCTTCACTATGTTACCAGAAACCACCACAGCAAAACCACGTGAAGTACCATCAGTAAATACCACATGGGCCTGAGGAATAGGAGTCATCTGTATTATTTTGGGAAATATAACAGAATGCAATTTAAAAAATTGACACACATCATTGGAGGGGTAGTGAGTATCAAAGGACCCTGCATGTAGCATGTCAATATGGTCCAATCATTATCATTAGCTTGCAACCATGCTATTTGAGACTGGGTGTATGGGGTCACCACAATATCCGGCTCCTTTCCAAAGGTTTGAACACTGATCTTGATTCCCTTAAATATAATTTGAGCAACAGCCTGAGGATAAGGAGTAATGGTTTTCGCTGGAGAAGCTGGGGAATGTACCCATAGTATAGGACCTGTTTGTCAAAACACTCCAGGAGGTGAATGAGAAAAACCAAATATTCATGACCTAAATTGCTGTGGATATTGCTCTATATAAATAAAACACTGATGGCCAGTGACCAGGCAGGAAGTAGGTTGCCAGGCAGGAAGTAGGTGGGACAAGGAGAGAGGAGAATTCTGGGAAGCAAAAGGCTGAGGGGGAAGACACTGCAGCCACCGCCAGGACAAGCAGCATGTATAGATTCTGGTAAGCCACCAGCCACTTGGCAAGGTATAGATTTATAAAAATGGGATAATTTAAGATAAAAGAACAGTTAGCAAGAAGCCTGACATGGCCATTCAGTTTATAAGTGATATAAGCGTCTGAGTGATCATTTTATACGTGGATTGTGGGACTTCGGGGCTTGGGGAACCTGGAGAGAATCCCTCCAGCAACAAGTGGTGCCCAACGGCTCAAGTTTCCACCTTAAACCTGAGAATATTTAATAACCAATTTTAAACAGAGCCAAAAACCAGGTTCCTGCTTCATGTCTCACAAGGGCAGCTAGACACCACAAAACGCGGGTTTGAACACTGGCTGGTTCCTAGCGTGTGCCTTTGACTGGCAGTTTGGCGGAAATGAGGCATCTGCCAGT